TGACTGCCAGTGGTTCTGAGATCACCTCTGCCAGTTCTTTTAATACTCTTGGATGCAGTTCATCTGGCCCTGGAGACTTGAATACATCTAAACTAGCCAAGTATTCTTGTACTATCTCCTTAGTTATTCTGGGCTGTGTTTCCTCTGCTGAATCATTTGCTCCAAATTCTTCAGGTCGGGCATTGTTTTCTTTATCGGAGAAGACTGAGGCAAAGAAGGCATTGAGGAGTTCAGCCCTTTCTGTGTCCCCTGTTTGCATTTCACCATCTTCTCCTCTGAGTGACCCCACTGTTTCTTTGTTCTTCCTTTTGCTACGAACATACCCATAAAAGCCTTTTTTGTTGCTTTTAACCTCTCTAGCAAGCCTGTATTCCTCTAGAGCAGGGTTTCCCAAACTTGGGTCTCCAACTGTTTTTGGACTACAACTCCCATTATCCTTAGCTAGCAGGACCAGTGGTGGGAATTTTAGCTCAAAACAGTTGGAGGTCCAAGTTTGGGAAACACCGCTCTAGAGGTTGCTAGACTCCAGTTCCCATCAGCCTCAGCCAATATCGTCAATGGTTGGGGTGATGGGAATTGTAGTCCAGCAACATTTTGGAGGACCATAAGCTCCCTAGCCCTGACATACAACATGCATTCTTACAGTTAGCATGCGTTCAGCCCCTCCAAAGCTAAACCTGTTACAGCTAACTGTGGTAGGAAACTCAGCTGGTTTTGTTTTTGTCTCTTCCAATCTCCACAGTGCTATTTCAATTTCACACACACTGCCCACTGCACACACACCTTTTTCTCCCAGGTGCTCAAGATGGCATACATGGTACTTCCCCTCCTGATTTAATCCTCACAACAACCCTGTGAAGTAATTTAGGCTGGGAAGCAGTTGCTGACAAAGTCACCCAGTGAACTTCCTTGCTGAGTGGTCATTTGAACCATGGTCTCCCAGGTCCTAGTCCAACATTCAGTACACTGAATTGGTACACCACACCGGCTGTTACAAGGGCATCATATTTTAGAGGAAGGAGATGCAAGAATCAGACAATATCCACTGAAATAATGGATGCGAAGCATACTGGGCTGGATACAGACAGCACAATCCTAGCCATGTCTACTTGGAAGTAAGTCCTATTGAATTCAATGGGGTGTACTCCCAGTCCTAGTTAAGTGGGGTTAGGACTAAGGACTGCAGCCTTAGTCATGCTTAGAGTACACTTAGTGAAATCAACAACTGAACGTTAGTCATCATTACTAACTTAAGTCACACTGATTTCAATGGATCAACTCTAAGCATGGCTAAGGTTGGATCCAACCAACGGCCAAGAAATTGTGCAATATAATATGAAACCATTACAAGTTTATCAATGAAGGTGCAGCTGATAAGTAAAAAAATCTAGAGGGTTGTGAAATTTTACAGAATCTCTGATACTCTCTCTTCATATTCCTGCATGCTGAAACAATAAATATTCCTTTGGTAATCTTGTTTATATGGCTACATACATCTGCTAGCAATCATTCTGTTCCTAGAAGGACTATGTTTATGTTACCATAATTACACTGAAAAATCCCAGATTTCGCAGAGCCTATTTTTATCCTAACGATGAAGTAGTCAGCAGCTCTTCCTATTGAAACATCCTGGCTACTTAGCCAAACTATGAAGTAATAATAATAATAATAATAATAATAATAAATTTTATAATTTTATTACCGTAAGTTCCTCTGTGGGACATACCAGAAGAGGCGGTCCCGTAGGTACGAGGGTCCTAGGCCATATAGGGCTTTGAAGGTTAAAACCAGCACCTTAAACCTGATCCTGTACTTCTCCGGGAGCCAGTGCAGCTGGTATAGCACCGGGCGAATGTGATCTCGCAACAAGGATCCCGTAAGGAGTCTTGCCACGGCATTCTGCACCCGCTGGAGTTTCTGGATCAGTCTCAAGGGCAGCCCCACGTAGAGCGAGTTACAATAATCCAGTCTGGAGGTGACCGTCATGTGGTTCACAGTGGCTAGGTCAGGGCGAGAGAGGTAAGGAGCCAACTGCTTAGCTTGGCAGAGATGAAAAAATGCCGCCTTTGTTATAGCTGCAATCTGCGCCTCCATGGAGAGGGAGGTGTCGAAGATTACACCCAAACTCTTAACGGATGGTGCTGGCACTAATTGTGCCCCCGCAAGAGATGGGAGCTTCCCCCCCAATCCCATATTGTCCCGTCCCAGCCAGAGGACCTCTGTCTTTGAAGGATTTAGCTTCAACCAGCTCCCACGTAACCATCCAACCATCCATCCAGTTCTTGCGATACATTTTGTGGTTGATAATCACTGCACACAAGGGAGAAACTATTCTAAGCTATTCATTGTGGGTGCTTCCACATGGCAGCTTCCTCTGTACTTGGCGCGGCACATTTTTTATTATTTTATTATTTTTGCAGCACCCACATAGCATCAACCCAATAAAAATGCCAACCTTACTCCCCTACCCCAATTAATTCCAGATTTACCATTTATATGTTTTGTTTTGTTTTGCTACTTACTGGCTTTTCCGCAGAAATTGTAAATTTGGATTAAATGGGGAAATAATATGGGTAAGCTTTCAGATTAGGACAATGTCATGTGGAAACTGTTCCAAACTTGCATGCATGCGCAGCACAGACTCCAGAGGGAACAGCCACCTAGAAGTGCCCCAAATTATAGAAATATTTCCCTTGAGCTTAACTGAGAAAAATTGCCTGGTTAAGTTTCCTAAAAAATATTATCTATATTAATGCTGCAGTATGTATTTACCTAGGAATAAGTCTGACTTCAATGCGGTAGGCAAACTTTTTTTTAACTCATCAATTTTTGGACGACTGGACAAAATATTTTTAATTGGTCGATAACCCCATTTTTTATTACAATACAAATGAACAACCACCTCTATTCTAATGTAATTGTAAACTTCTAAGGACCTTGGTTTTGTTATTTTTCCTCTAGCAAACATAGTTCCTCTCCCCCGTTAGGGGATATCGAATGTCCATCCAAACTAAGCAAGAGGCCTTCTAGAGTTCTTCCAGGCTCCCAGAGTCTGTACAGACTCTGCTTCACTTAGTTCTCTTAAAAAACAGTGTCTTGGGAACAGAGCCAAAAGCTGAGGCAGAAGTTCTCAAGGAAAACAGTGGCAGAAGCCCATATGTTCTATGGGGTAAGTTTGTGAGGTCTTTGGTCTAATAGACCTCTGTATTTTGGCTCATTTAAAAAACGGGATAACTTCATTGAACATTGCATATTTAGAAGGGTCTGTGGTCGTAGTCCCAGCACACATTTCTCAATGGGAGAAGCAAAAAATGAAAACCAGCTTTAAAAAAATGATATATCGTTATGGAAGTTTGTGTGTGCATTCTTGACGCAACTCTGTGAGTCAAATGTTAAGTCTGGCTTGACCCTTATATCCAGTTTTTTTGGGGGTGGGGAACCTGAAAACTCACTGTACAGTGGTACCTCGGGTTACATACGCTTCAGGTTACAGATTCCGCTAACCCAGAAATAGTACCTCGGGTTAAGAACTTTGCTTCAGGATGAGAACAGAAATCGTACTCCAGCGGCGTGGTGGCAGCAGGAGGCCCCATTAGCTAAAGTGGTGCTTCAGGTTAAGTACAGTTACAGGTTAATGAATGAATTAAGTACTTAACCCGAGGTACCACTGTAATGGGATATATCTCATGTGCACGAAGCGAGCTTAATGATTTAATATTTTATATGTTTGGCATGATTCTCCATCTGCACCCCCCCCCCATTTCCAAAGGGAGAAGGAAACACACAATAGCAGTGTACACACTTGACCTTTAAAGCACATTCAAAGCACATTCTTTCCCTCAAAGAATTGTAGTTTACCCCCTTACAGAGTTACAGTCCTTAGCAGCTCTTCACAACTGCAGTGCCAAGAATTCTTTGAGGGAAAGAATATGCTTCAAATGTGCTTTAAAGCTGTAGCGTATACACAGCCGTAGATTGCAGTGTGATATCTGGACCTTGAAAACATGATAGTAGTGCACAACTGTTTCTGCATTTCAGTTTTGGACATTGTAAATGAATGAAAAGGTCAACCCAAAGAGGCCAGGAAGGCAAATTGCATTGAAAGGTATAATCTGATCCAAAGAACTATGCACTTTCCTTGTTGTGTTTTATTTTATTCAAACACAGAAAGAAAAGGAATGGTGCAGGTTCACAGTCCACCTGTTTCCTGAGTGTTAAGTTGTGGGTAAACATATCAGACGACACAGCGATTCTCCAAACAGCTCTTGTTTATTCACAGGTCAGAACTGAACTGAACTGAAGGGTTCAGCCAGCCTGCTTATATAGAGCTCCAGTACCACGTTACTGTAACAACTTTCCAAAACTATCCAATCACTGAACGTCACTTTCGATCCCTTATTTGCATATGTGGACCTGAACTATCTACAGTATCCCCCTGCTGGCCCAGGGTGAGAACTTCAGTACATAACAGTTGGCATTTTTGTGATGAGAGATGAAGAAGCAGGTGTACACTTGTTCCTTTTTTTCCACAGATTTTGGAATAATCTCAGCAAAGAAGTTATCAAACTGGCAGGAACGGCTTGAGCTCTTAGCCAAGGACGCAGATGTCATCTTGGTCAATGGGGACTGGCAAACTGCCTGCTGCAGAAACCCTGGAGAGCAAGATCTTGGTTACTCAAGTTGCGGTCCTTGAGGATGCAAAATCCTTAGATGTGGCTCACATGTGCCCACATTTGTACATAACTGTAACATGAGAACTGGTGCATGTGGTTTGGCACGTGGTTATGCATGAAATCTAAAATAGATTTAGGATCTTGGCAGTCTGCATTTAAGGGGGATCAGAAAAGGTTTGGCTTAGGACAGATCCATGCCATACAATTATAATACACACTCAGTACACACTTAAAGCACGTGACTACCTCCAAAGAATCCTGGGAACTATTGTTTCCTTCTCACAGCACTATAATTCCCAGCATCCTTAATAAACTGCATTTCCCAGCATTCATTGGGGGTAAGTCATGTGCATTAGACTTGTGTTGGATGTGCTTTCAGGTTAGCAGGGGAAGAACTGCATAGCTGAATTATAAGTGGCTTTCTGATTTTGTTTGTGAAGAAGATCTGCAAGCATCACCTGCGAAACTATATGTTCTGGAAAAGCATTTGGAAATATATTGGATTGTGACCAGCTACTACTTCCTGTAACTGTGAAGGAACCTGAACACTAATGTATGGCATGCCATTTGCAGTCACTTTTGCCATTGTAAAAGCCAGGCTTTCGCTGTTTCGGGAACATCAGTTTACATTTCTAGTCCAAACAACATTAATATATAGCACACTATAAAAGAGAAGTGGAAAACATGAGGCTATGTTTATGTTAAAGGGAAGGATTTGATGAACTTGCAGCAATTTCACACATCCGGTGACTAGGAGTATTTTCTCTTGAAAACCTCATCTAAATACAAACCAAGTGTTTGCTGTGGAAGAATTTTTGACCTTAAGAGAAGCCGAAGTACATAAGAGTTTGCAATATAACAAATGCAAGGACGTCCCCCCACTTTTTTCCCAGAATCAAAGCTGGAGAAATATTTCTCAGTCGCTCAGTTATTGCTATGCAGCTTTAAGCAGGCAGGGGAATGCTCGTTTTGAGGATACTGTGGATTCGTTTTGCTTTATGGACACTGATTATCAAGACCTGCAAGCTAAGTAAGTACTATAGCCCTTTTTAATGAATACAGAGAGACTAGTTGACCAGTTAATTTGCCGATACACAACATGCCTTAAACTGGTGGAAATAAGAAACAAGGGACAATGTTTGCTTGGGACCATTTGATATTTATGATAGTAGGGCGGGGAGCAAAGGGGGGGGAATGAGGGAATATTTGTCAGAATGCAGACCAAAATATTGCACACCTCTGTTTGATAATACTGTAGAGACTACAGCGACAGGTGTAGGATTTTGCTATGGAGCTGCTTTGTACAATACTCGACAAGGCAGCCTTGTGTTTGCTTCCAAGTATACCCTCATTGGGAATCTATTCTGGAAGAACTGGTATGAGGAACCGCTACAAAATTGTGTATTTGCTATCACATTTTTGTTGCATTCATGCATTGCGTATTTTCATTGCAAACTAATATGGGCACATCTTAAAAATGTAAATGTATGAAGCAGCCATGCCCTTCCCAAAATCAACAGTAGTTTTTTCTACAATAAAACAGTGTAGTCCATACCAAGAAAAGAAGAAGACTGGAGAGCTTTAAATCTGCTTGGCAATTTCGCAAGCTGTAGTCATTCAAACGGCAAAGAATATCTTATCTGCACTTTTTAAATCTGCATCCTCCATTGTATTTTTGCTCAATGTGAAAAATACAAGAACAGATGTGCAGTTCTAGGTTATATTGACATGGATTTATTTTGTATGAACAAAGGGATTCCAATCGTGATATTTAATTTTGTACAAGGAAAGAACAAAGGAGCAAATGGTCCCCTTGTTGAATATATTGTTTTTAGCCTACTTCTTTGTTCTGGGGGTTTTCATTCCTTTTTGATGAAAAAGTGCACAGCCTTTCCATGTAGATACGTAGAAAGCTTTGTCATTATATGATGATGAGAATTACGGTACATTAAAGAACACAGTTGTCACGTAGATACTAGGCAAATATTCCATAAGCAAATGTATAAGCATGAATTTGGCTGCTTTTATTTTGGAATGTCAATGCAAATAGGTAGTTCACTTTCTATAAGCCAACAAGTTTCAGTGTATGTGTGTGTTTCTGATTTTCCTCCTGGCTAAGACAACTGCAGTTTCTCAAGTTACATAAAGATCTACTTGTTAAGAGTAAATCTGCTGTGGTTTTTTTTTAGTTTTTAGATGTTTTTATTGGACAACGAGAGAGAAAGTTTGAAATTCAAGTGCACTGGTTCGTGAACCCATATGTTCCAAGACACACTGAAACATAAACAACTGGCGGTATATTTAATAGCTTGCCTTCCACGGCTGCCAACCTAAGTGACCCTCTCTGAAAGTAGCTCTTCTGCATTATGAAGAATTTCTCATTTTCCAAAGATGACTATGAGCCTGGCATTCCTTTCCTTCCCGGCTTTCTCAACTCCACAAATGCACCAGCTCTTCCCGAAAGGCAATCGAGAAATGAACAATTAGCTCTGGTAGAAATCGCTGTGCTGGGGATAATATTTGCGACAGCGTCTGTGGGCAACATCATCCTCATCCTGGTGTTATGGAGGAGAAGAATGAAGCTGTCTAGGATGTATGTGTTCCTGCTTCACCTGAGCATTGCAGACCTGATGGTTGCATTCTTCCAAGTCCTTCCGCAGCTCTTTTGGAAAATTACAGATGTTTTCATGGGCCCAGACATTCTGTGCAGAACCATCATTTATCTCCAGCTGTTGAGCATGTTTGCCTCCACTTATATGATCGTGGTTATGGCATTGGATAGATACCAAGCGGTGTGCCACCCCATGGCCTCTTTTCCAAAGAAGGCGGCCCTTTGGAACCCTCCAATCTGCACAAGCTGGTTCATTTCTCTGGTCTTCAGCGTTCCCCAGGTATTTATCTTTCGGAAGAGAGAGGTATCCCCAGGCATCTTTGACTGCCAAGCTGACTTCATTGAACCCTGGGGCACAAAGGTGTATGTGACTTGGATTTCCATCGCTATTTTCTTCCTCCCCGCAGCTGTCCTCATCGTATGTCATGTGAGGATCTGCAGAGCAATTCAAATGCATATGCATTTGAAAAGCTCCAATGAATTGGAAGTGACGAATCAGAAGCAAATACAGCCATGCCAGGGAAACAATGCAAGTTGTACATCGAAGGCTATGATCAAGACTATAAAGATGACAGTGGTGATAGTGGTGGCTTATATTTTCTGTTGGTCACCTTTTTTCATCGCACAGCTGTGGACTGCCTGGCACCCCAGTGATGCTAGGACTGAAGGTAAGGCCAGTGATCTTGCCCGATACATAGCCAATAATCACATTGCTATATATTTAATATCTGGGTGGATTTATATTCGTTCTAAATGTGGGCATAATATTAAATGGCTTAATAAGAAAAAAATCAAATGGCATTTCTTTGCCAATTTAAAGAACAAACACAGGAAATCAATTGTTTTTAAATGAGTACAATTTTGCTTCAAAACTTATTGAAATGCTTGCGCCTCAAAGGCCGCTGAATGTTACACCCATTATGATTTACGAACAACTGGAGCAGATCAACTGGAGTATTTGCTCAAGTCAAAACTGAACGAGACATTTCCAAATAGTCTATAGTGCAAGAGAAACACTACGTTGAATTGAACAATAATCTGATTCTAGAGAAATATAGACTGGATTATGAAACTGTGACAAAATGTTTCTAAAGACATTTGGAAAATCTTCACCTGCTCCCAAACAAATCTATAGTAAGTTAATTGGTTGAAGATCAATGGGATCAAAAAGTTATTATGTATATATTTTATTAACGTTCTTTTATTGAGAGTGAGCTTACTCTTCAGGGCATAAACATCTGTTCAGGGTATAAAAATCAGTTTTTCATTAAGAGAGAGAGAGAGAGAGAGAGATCATTTCCCCCGCAACATATTCCTTTGTCTTCTCTGAATGACTTATAAATTCTTTTCCTTTCAGGTCCAGTAATAGCCATTCTTATGCTCCTAGGGAATCTTAACAGCTGTGTTAATCCATGGATTTATATGTACTTTTGTGGTCAAATACCACGTTGTTCAAAAAAAATACAGGACAACGCTACAGCTCATGAAGAATCTACCATTACAGGCAGTGTTAACTTCGGAGAGAAAGAATCTGAAGACAATATCACATCTGTGTAATTATAAACTCCTGCCTTTTTGGCTTATGTTTGTTTCATTGAACCATTTTTCTAATATGGGTATGTGCACATGTGGTAAGAAACATTGTTTTCTTTATATATGTATTTCCTTAACTTTGAAGCAAATATATTCAAGGTTTAAAAATTCCTAGCACAGTGTAAAAGGCATGTTATATGTGAATATTTTTGCATGCCAAGTGCTGAACTCCATACACACCAAGGTACATCTCAAACTACATGCATTCATAGGCTCCTCTCAATTTTGTATCCTCCTCCAGCAAGTTTAGTGAATGTATTATAATGTCTCTAAGACCTTTGCCACGGTAAAATTGCTTTATGAGCTATTGTTTGTTTTACTCCTCCTAGTCCTGTGGGCAGGATGGAATAGACATGTCAGTGAGCAGAACAGAAATGAGTTATTAAAGGCACTGGTGGCTCCAGTGAAATGCTGCAAGGTTGAGTATAAAATCCCATTGTTACATGGTCATATTACATGGAACTTTTGATCTAGAATGTCCAACTGGAGTCTTGCCAGCCAGACTTTACTTTTCAGGATTTTCTTGTACTCCTGCTTCCTACCTTTTTATTCAACCTTTAGTTTTTCACCTTTTGTTCCTCTCAAGTCTCTCTGAACCTCCTCTACTGACATGCTGTGACCAATGATTCAGCTTCTGGCACTGCCCTTTCAAAAACTTGGCAAGGGCACTCAGTTTCTTGGTATTGACGTTTGGCTCTACAAACGTACGTTTTGTAAAATTGTGAGAGGACCGCGGCCTATTTCCTGGCTGTCGGCTCACACTGTGACTCACATCCCGGGCAGCGCCTTACAGCCACAGTCCCGGGAGGACATTATCACAATATCTCTTTGTGGGTCCTCTAGCACTTGATTGTGTTCTATAAACCTCGTGCTGTTGGCAAAGCAAATTATGCACTTAATCTGAATTAATTGAGAGAGGAGTAGTCAATTATTTATGATGATCTTTCTGTAACTTTGATATGAAACAAAGAGTGGGGACTGCTGCAAACTTGTAAGAACATAGCAAACTATTATGCTAAGTAGCCCAACTGTCTACATTGATTGGCAGTGGTTATTTGGGGTTTTAGGCAGGGCGATCTCCTGGTCATACTTGGAGATGCTGGAGACTGAGCCTAGGATCTTCTGGGTGCAAAAGCAGGTGGTCTACCACTGAGCTATAGTTCCTTCACAATCAAATTACTGCCTCATGCAGGCAGCTTTTGCTGATATGAATGCCTTCCTCTTATATAAATAAATAAATTCACATCAGCTTTGGTAGGCCTTTGAACTATGGATGGTACATAATGCCATTATGATAATGACAGTAGATTTCTTGGGGCTCAGGAGGGATTGGCAGCTCTCTGATTATGGGATATGTGGTATAGTTGTGTCCCATTCTGCAGCTCACATCACAGGAAGACTGACAATCGGCAAAATGAAATAGAAATTTTAAAGCTTTATTTTCCCTCTTATTAAACACACTGGTTTTTTTAAAAGGAAGGATGCTTAAACAAATAATTAGCACATTGTTCATGACACTGAGCCTTGACACTACACAGTGAAAACTGATAATTATAAATTCAAATTTTGCTAATTTTAACCAAATTACAGGTGTGTGTGTGTGTACACATGCACTATATCACATGTTAAATCAGTTTATTTTTGTTTCTGAAAATGACTGTGCAAAGTTGCAGATGGGCTTTGAAGCGGTCTACCAGCTGATGAGAATGTGCACCATTCAAATGAGCTTTGTTTTCTAATCTCTTAGCACCACACCTACCGGTAATTCAGAATCATTTTTGTTATGCATAGCTAATGATGACTTCTGGCTTCCTATGTAGTTCTAATTATCAGGTATACAGCTTTGGTGGAAAAACCATATGTTTAACAACATGAATACTATATTTTAAATAACAACATTTAAGTCTATAGATATATATCAGTCTGTATGTATTTGTCTACAGGACAGCAGCATAAGTTTGGAATTTGGTTTATGGCAGAAAATAAACATCCTGGGAATTTAAGTGTCCCCAATCTTCCCTTTTAATGCTAATGAATATTACAGATGTTCTTTAAATAAAAGAGTGTTACAGCACCATAACACTTTAAAAAGACAAAAACAAAAAATTATGGTCACCACCATTTTGGCAATGTGTTGCCACTTCCCTACTGAAGCACTTTCAATCCAAAAGAAAAGTTCAGTACTCTGGGTACTCACATTTCATGGACACCAGTGGGCAACTACACTCACATTAGTAAGCATGTGTAGTGCTAAATAAATTACAGATTTTTAGTTTTAAGGATCACTTGGAATTCCTCCTCCCAAAGGTCTCTTAGGTGAACTAGACCTTCCCTTTCCCTTGACAGAGCAGCTACATCACATTCACTAGTATCAACGTAGTGGGATTAACATTCAGAAAAAGGGTAATATCCCTGAAAGTGTTGAAAGTCACTTGCAAGTCTGCATCTTACAGCAGAAGAACAGTATTTTATAAGAGCTTGGAGCCACCCATCTGGAAGCGGCTGTCACAAACATGTGTCCCGCAGACCCATAAAGTCCCCAAATCCCTCTTTATTTTGAGAACTGCTAAAAACCAGAAAGGTTCAGTCTATCCAGATGACAACCACTGTGTATTGTTCCATGTGTTTTGTAAAACTTCCAATTCTCCTTATTTATTTGTACAAGGAAAAAAAAATCTGACTCCAGCTGTGGCTTAAAGTTTGCAAAGCATTCTTCTTGTTGTCTCCTACCTTCTATTCTGCAAACCAAAACAACCTTATTTATGAGAGACCTTTTGCCAAGTAAGTCAAAGAAACAAAGCATAGGCTGGCTTGGATCCAAAGACCCCGCTGTGCAAATCTAAGGCCCTTCCTCTTGTGCAAGGTAGCTGCCAATTTCCCCCTCATCTGCATCCCCCTCCAACTTCTCCAGATCATATCCCAAAGTGGAGCCAGTTTTCAGGGGTTGCAGATGGGGAAGGGAATTAGTGATCCCCTCTGCGTGTGGACAAATGTATTTCACTTACGCAATGTGATCTTTGGAACCAAACAATTTACAACACTCCTCTTGGTTCCATAATGCTTATTTTTTGAATTAGCTAAACAGGTTTGAAAACACCTATTAGTTCTAAATCTGAATGGTGGTGTGAGTACTTCTGTTCTTCTGTCTCGATAGCTGCAGAGGCACCACAAATAGATTAAAGCCCAGCTGAAGACTGTCATTATTTATGGAAATGTTTTTCAAGAATGGGAATCTTAAAGTCTCCTCTCCCTCCTACTCAAATCCTCTTCTCTACTTCACAAGGTAGAGAAATGAACCTTCCAGCTAAATCACAATATTGCAGGGATGGTCCCTGGTGCCTTTCAGATGTTATTGAACATACAGTTGATGGAAGTTGTAGTAGTTCAGAAACATCTGGAAGACATTGTGTTGAATACTGTTTAGCCACAACTGCCAACAGCTGAATTTTTATTCTGCCTTTCCTCCAAAGGGACCAGAGCAGTGTGATGTACGTAGGTTAGGATGAGAAGGAAATGTGTTTTCCTCAGAAATCCACTGAGCTTCCTAGCTAACCAGGGATTTGAACATAGGAAGTTGCCTTATACTGAGGCAGACCAACAGGTCAATGTAGTAGAGTGTTGTCTGCACCAGTGTTCTTCAACCTTGGGCTGCCAGATATTGTTGGACTACAACTCCCATCATCCAGAGCCAGATTTTCCATGGCCAGAAATGATGGGAGTTGTACTTTAGCAACGGAATTCAAGCACACTCATCTATACAGATCTGCATTGGCTTTCCAGGGTTTCAGACAGCAGTCATTCCCAGTCCTACCTGCCAGGGATTGAACCAGGAGCCTTTGACATGTAAAAACATGTGCTCTGTCACTGATCTATGGCCCTTCCCCAAGCTGAGTTTATCATTCCTCTAAAATAATAATAATAATCTAGGTTGCAATCCAAACTCCCTTTCTTGGTTTGTTTGTTTGTTTTGTGGGGTGGAAGTGTCCTCCACCCAGCCCTGATGGTCTTCACTGGCCTCCACCCACAGAGTGATCATTCCACTCACACAAAACTCCCCATTTGTTTTGTCCAATGAGTGGGAAGGTGGAAGTGCATCTACTTGTATCTCCACCAGTGGCAGCCTGCAAAAAGCTCCACTGACAAGGTTGCACCTTCCTTCAACCAGAATTACTTTTAAAATGTTGACTTAATTCACCAAATTCAAGAAAACTCACTCTGTAACCCTATGCATGACTATTAGGAAATCAATTCTGTTGGGTTGCTGTTGGGGGGGCTAATGTTTTGTTGTTTCTGTTTTAACTATTTATTTGTGCTTTTTCTTGTATTTTTGTTTTGTGAACCACCATGAGATCTTTTGATGAAGGGTGGTATATAAATCTTAACAACAACAATAATATAATTTTAGCCACAATAGCTTTCAAATTTTGGCAACCTGAGCTACTGGTCCTTCTTGCAGGTGGAAGATGAAGCTGGATTGAACCCCACATTCATAAAAATGTGGTGTGAACCTTCATCTTTCCCTCTCACAGATCTTTTTTTCTGGCTTCACTAACTTTGCTCACTTTAATCTGACTTATGTATGTTTCATTGCTGATCTTATTGAACAAAATAAAATGCAGTGACCTAGATCTAGTATAACTCATTTTAATGTCATAAAATGGTTTGCCTTTATCGATCTGCACAGTATTTTATTTGCAAAGCTAGCAATAACGCAGAAGTGTTTTACGATGGCACCACATGTTAACACACCATTGCCTTCAGCCATTCTATTTCCATGGCTTCGATCTCAATATTTTCTAACCCACAGATTATTCTTTTCTGAAATAGAAAGATTTCTGTTGATTAGAAAGATAAGAGTTTTCTCTGAAGTCAGAATTCCTAAAATGAGAAACTAACAATGTTGCGAACTTCTGACAGTGTGTGTGTGTGTTTTCTGGAATTTGGTCATCTTGCCATTGTGTATCAACTTCCTAATGGCTACAGCCCTACAGCTTAGTTCTCGAACGTTTTGGCTTACGAACGCCGCAAACCCAGAAGTGGCTGTTCTGGTTTGCGGACTATTTTTGGAAGACGAACTGACTTCCAGAATGGATTCCATTCAACTTCCAAGGTACAACTGTGTAACTAATGTAAGGATGCATCTGAACAACAAAATCCAGAAAAGGTAAAGATAAAGGTAAAGGGACCCCTGACCATTAGGTCCAGTCGTGACTGACTCTGGGGTTGCAGCGCTCATCTCGCTTTATTGGCCGAGGGAGCCGGCGTACAGCTTCCGGGTCATGTGGCCAGCATGACTAAGCCGCTTCTGGAGAACCAGAGCAGCACACGGAAACGCCATTTACCTTCCCACTGGAGCGGTACCTATTTATCTACTTGCACTTTGACATGCTTTCGAACTGCTAGGTTGGCAGGAGCAGGGACCGAGCAACGGGAGCTCACCCCGTCACAGGGATTCGAACCGCCGACCTTCTGATCGGCAAGCCCTAGGTTCTGTAGTTTAACCCACAGTGCCACCTGCATCGCCTGCAAATAAATGAACAAATCAGCCTGCTGGGAGCTGGCAGAAGAGCAGGGAGAATTCCATCCCGCAGTTAGCAACCCACTATATTTCTTCACTGCATATTGGGAGGGACAGAGTGCTTCATCTCTCATCTAGCAACCCATTCACTCACCTGCATGCAATTTATTTTTGCCTAGGGCTACCAGCCTAGGGCTAAAATACAAGGCTGAACGAAGTACAGAAGAATGGTGCCAGACAAGAATACACTTTCACTGAAGAATTGTATTTCTTTGAAGTATTTTATTTAAAATATTTATAGACTGCCCTCCATTTATTTGTAGTAAGGTTTATCCCCAAATGGAGATATCCATAGCGGCTACGAAGCAAACACAATTCAGAATCTTACAAAAAAAGGGGTGGGCAAGAAATAACAAAGCCAGCAGACAGCCAGATGGAATTAAAACTCTAAAAAATAAACCCCAAAAGAAAACGAAGTGTTGCTTTTCCCATGGTGACTGTCAGTTAAGTAAATGTGGTTTAACGGCTGTTAAAACAATGATTTAAGAACAGCAATCAGTAAAAGAAACAAAGAAAAGTAAAATCAACAATGGAACAAAGCCTAAAAACTGGAGCTGGGAAGATAGAATGGATAGGCCTTTGCACTGCACTGGAAAGATTTAAGCACAAGCTTCATATAAGCCTCTCTGAGCTAAGAAAACATTCTTCCCGGTCTCCACTAGGCATGGGCCAATATGTCAATTTCAGTTTCTCCTTTTTCAAATATTAAGATCTGTTTACCACATTTCCACATCACTTTGTGATTTTTTAAAAAAGTAATTATTTATGAAAATCCATCAGCATTTTAGTGCAAATTTCTTCCAAGATGCACATTTTTGAATGCAGTCTTGCCTATTACTGTATGCACATTTTCTCAAGGCCACTCCCCTAATACACTGCGATTTTGTCTCGTTTTTGCCAATCTGTGCATTTTTATGCACATTTTGCAGCCATATGTGCATTTTTGTTCATACAACTTGGTGGGAGAACTGCAAAAAATTGGAGAAGGATGAATTTCTAAGGAGGGTTCATTGCTTCTGAAAGTGCAAATCAGGCATATTGAATCTAATTTCTTCCCGATAAATCATCTCTGCTCAGCTGACTTCTTAGAGGGTGGGGTAGCCAGTTCAGAAACACAGTAAAAGTCGCCCATAAACAAGTTACTGAGAGACCAGCAATTAATAAAACAGGAAGCCTACCCAAAACTCTTTAACTGGCATCGTTGCTTTAATTAATAATTAAATTATTAAATTATTAAATTTGTATACTGCCTTTCATCTGAAGGTCATAGGGCAGTTCACAGCATAAAAATACAAAATGAGGACATGAAATACATAATAAAACAAAAACAAACCAATAACCCCTCTCTCACGAACACATTTTTAAAAGCCATAAAATGTCTGTAATCAACCAAAGACCTGGTTAAAGAGAAACATTACTCAGAAACGTCAGTCACACGATACAGGCAAAGAGAACCTGTGAGGCATAAACAGGTTTTTGCTACACCTCAACACAGTTACACTTGATTACTGTTGTTCAGAACTATACACCAAAGTGGAAAAAAAATTCTGGAAAAAAATTGCTTGACCTTTAAACAACAACACGGAAGCCAGCAGGAGCCTATATTAAGAGCTGAGGGGTGTTCCCTAGAGAATGTAACTAGAAGAGCTGCGAGAAACATAATTTGATGTGAATGACTCACGTCTGAGAAAAAGGCTGTTAGTGGACCCACCAATAATTCAAAAGCACATTAAGAAGGGGTAGATGGATTCAACAAGAGGTGTAAGAACAAAAAACAAACAAACCTAGAAATGCTCTGAGATCGGCAAGATTTTCCAAACATGCCTGCTCACTTAGAAGACTTCACACTTTCTCCTTCGCTACCTTCCGAAACACCTGTGGCCCACACTGGAAGATCAGCAGATATAATCCAGTTCGAAGGACGGGTGTCAAAATCAGTTTAGTGTTATATGTCCCAAACATGTGTTTTTGATAAAGCCCCCCAATGTACTATCTTTCCTGCTGCTTATTTCTGAATGATAATTAAAAACCCAACCGCTTTCCAGCACCTACTAAGAAGAAAAGGCTTGTGGGTAAATAACCCTCCGTCCACTCAATTGCAAGCACAGCATGCCCATATCCTACACTGTGTTATCAGATATTTCATTAGAATGACCTGAATGTGTGATAGCTCCAGCCTCATCATAGTGAGGCACAAGCCTTCTGAGAAAGCAATCATCATCTGGGAACATGTTTATCTTTTTATTCATTGATTCCAAGTTTTGAGTTGGCTGGTCATGTGATTCATAGTCATCTTGATACTCAGTTCAGGTCTGAAGATCAACGCAGCATTTGTTTCCAAGGCAGCATCTATTCAGTAATGATTAAAAAGGCGAGCTACTCCTTCTACAGTACCTAGCAAAAACCAGGTACTGTCATATTTTACCCCTTGGGACACAGTTATGCCTGCCAGGGTCTGCATCAAGGGTTGGTATGATTCGGCATGGGCAAAGGCCTCTGACAAGGGCCTCCTGAACCTCTTCTCCACCACTGCAACCTGTTTGTTGACCTACCTTCCATTCTGGCAAATCCCCAGAGCAGCGGTGAGGAGGAGGAGGAAGAGCTACTACTGCCTGTTGCTGAATTACAACTTATTACCAAACTTAAAACCATGGAGAGACCTGGTCTGAATAGAGACATCTCATTATACATGATAAAGCTATTTTTTGGCCATCTCATCCCTTGCTTTTTCCTGTAAGACCAATTGCAGTCCTTAACAGTTGTCAACAGGTTTACCATACCCATTGAGTCAGTCACCCATCTCCTACTACCCTCCTGAGAAAAACCCCACCCCCCACCCGCCCACTATATATAAGGGTCTGGTGACTTCTGTTTCAGTGTATCTGAAGAAGTGTGCATGCACACAAAGTTCATACCAAGAACAAATTTAGTTGGTCTTTAAGATGCTACTGGACATTTTAAAAAATAATAATTCTACTGCCTGCCAGTAATGCATAGTATACGGGTGGCATGTTTGATTGCCTCAGGTCTTAGAGAGGTCCAACAATGGCAGCTGGCATGGTCAGGCAGCTGCTGGGCCCTATATACCAGAAAAGAACCTGCAGCAGACAGCTGACACCAGCCACTACCATCTTTAGGCCATGTGTACAACATGCTCAGATGTGGATAAGTCTAGGGGGCTGCAAATTTATGTTGTTACTCTGTTGCCCTGGTAATCTCCAGGAAGTCAATGTGGAGCAGAGGGCATTGCACAATAGCCAATGGTCTTTTATTAAGAGTTGTCCCTGTAGGCTCACTAGCTTTTCAGAAAGATGGACCTGATGGCATTGCTGACTCCATTGTCGCGGTTGCCACAAATAGTCCCATAATTAGCATTAAATATCTGTGAGGGATTCTTAGGTATCTTGATCCCCAGACGTTGATCCACGTCTTCAGGACAAGCTGCCTTTAGGCATGGTGGCTGGTCACATCCTGCTATGCTTTCGGTCTCTGATCCCTCTAAGCCACCCAGAAATGCAAAATTATGCCAAAAGTGGTTCCTTCTTGATAGCTTGCCATTAGAATGTTCCAGATTCACTGTTAATTCTATTGGAATATGCAATTGGAATATTATAAATGTATAAATGAGCAAAATCCAGTTTCATATGAAGCCAGGAAAAAATGAGTTCATTGGTCTGAAACAAATAATTGTCTTGGTACTCATACATATACAGTATATTGTTCAGAATGGTTTTGAGCAGCATGTGTGCCAATATGCTCCAGGATATTGAATTAGTAAATGATCAACAACATCATTATAAGCCAGAAATGTAATATTACCTTTCAGTTCCTCATGTGACTAGGGGAAATGTTGTTTATTGCATCTGTGGTTGACAAATTTGGCACTGGTATCTGCACAAAGCTTCACTTAAGGAAGCTCACAGTGTGTTCAAAATAATCAAGCAAGCAAATGATCTCTCCCCAGGGTTTCTGTGGGTGGATGGAAGTATGCGCTTGAGATTCATTGAGCATATCTGATTGCAGAAGCACTTCAACTCAGCTGTAATC